GGTTGATAGTAAAACAATTGGGACTTCGTAGGACTCGGGAAAGTGGAAAAAGCCGTTTGAACCAGACAAACGATCGAGTTTGGTTCTACACGCACGAGGTCGGCGCGTGTTCAGGTAAGGTAGGGGAGACAGGCGTCAGTGTAGCCCTTTCGTATACGGTAACGACAAGCCCAATTCCCCAAAGCGAAAGTAATTACAAGGAAAAGGGTATCGTATGGGGGAAGGGAGGATCGGTGAGGAGAGGTAGAGTAGATCGAGAGAGGAGAGAAAAGAGGTCGGAGCAAGGAGAGGTCGGGTTCAAAAGAACGTGAGGAGGGGAAGCATTTCAGGGTTTAAGCGAAGGCGAGCGAGAGGAAAAGAATGACGGTAAGGTTGGTTGACGATCTCAGCGCAAGACAGGACGAAAGGGGCCGCCGCCGCTAGAGCGCGTTAGTGGAGGGACGGAGGCTTGGAGCGTGTGCAGCTTGGCAGACCCCTGAACTTTTTTTTTTCCCTTTCCCTCCTTCCACTCTGCAGGCAGTCTTCCAGGTCCTGGTTCTACGAGCTCGAGGAGGAGACCTGGGCGGTACGGATACACTCACGCACACGATAGGTACGTACCTGTGTCCGTACCTGTGTCTGCGGGACTGGGAATTTTAGCGACAGACGACTGCCAGGGACCCAGCGTGGGAGCAGAAAATTGACCAGAAATGGCAGGCTCAGTGCTTCAAGGCCTGCAAGGCGGGTTGGCAGCTTTGATGCAGGGGGCAAGCCACTGACAGACGAGTTTCAGAAGCCCCGGGACGAATGCTGGGATTGGCCGGTGCCGATACTGGCGTCCCCGATTCTGGGTGGACGGTCCGTGGGGCTCTCTGCGGTACGTACCTCAGCTCAGCGAACGTACCTTTTTCTTCAGGTGGGCCTCGAGATGCCGTGCTCCCCGATCCAACTCTTGGTCTTGCTCTGCCTGCCATTCGTCTGCTCACGGCACATGAAGTAGGTAAGGTAATTATCAAGGACCAAGGCCAGGAATGGGATGCCATTGGCAGCCCCCTCGAGATTGTTGACATTTGATCATTCGAGAACCGTGCAGTGCCGTCTGCCCGACAAGGTGGGAAGACGCGTTGCGGTTGCATACCTTTCGATTGCATGCTGCTCAAGGTTAGTGGTGGTGGTGGTGGTAGTGTTACGGCATAGGCCGCCACTTGACACCACCCAACAATCCGAACTTTGGCAACTCTGATAGCAAAGTTGGAGCACACACACCCTGACAGCCAGTTACGCAGTAATTAGCTGCCGCGGCTTGCTCTACCGTCCGCCTCCATTACCTGACAGAGCTCCCGCACATCAGACGCTGCATGAACGCAGTCCTCAGAAGAAGCTTGGCTTTCCGCTGGAGACCGGGACGGGGACGATGTTACGCTTTTTCGGCGATTAGATGCCGCCCTCATATATCAGTCTGGAGTCTTTTCCAGTGTAATTCCTAGGCACAAGATGAAGATTGCAACTCTGGCATGTGGACGCGAAACAGGACGGGCTTTAGCATAGTCTTGTTTAATGAGTCGGCAGCGTAGAGGAGCGTGTAACCCATGTCTCCATGCACGCATCCATCAGTCGTTTCTTGTTCCTTAATATCACCACATATGTTCCAGGGACCAGACGTCTGCTGTCGGCAGTCTGAAGGCCCCATGTCCAGTTTTGGAGTGAGCTGAGAGCCTGAGCCCGTCCAGACTCCAGTTCCAATTGAATTGAGAGGGACCCTCGGCCTCCAGGTTCCCAGCTTCTCTGCGCGTTCCTTGCCTTCCTTGACTCTTTCCCTCGGTGGCCCCTTGCTCGTACAGCCGCATCGTTCCTACTTTGAGTCGTAGCGCGTACGGGGCCCCCAGTCCTCTGCAATCCGCTGACCACTCAGCCCTCAGGGAACGCAAGTTGGTGCATTTGCCCTGGTTTGGCCCGCTACCGCAGTAAGGTATCCCTGTGGCATTCACTGGTATCCAGTGGTATCCAGTGGTAGGTATTCAGTGGCCTCCAATGGCGGTATCCTCTGCGAGTGATGACGAGTCGCTTCGCGCCGCCTTCCAATAGACGACTATCACCTCCACCGTGTGCCCACCGCAGCGGAGTGTTAGAAGCTTAACCTTTCCCTTTTTCCTTGCGTGGATCATTCCCAACACAGGGCAGTGAGCGTGCCCTTCGTGTCATTTTCACTCAGATCTGGCCAACTCTTTTCCTCGATCCAGGAATAAATCGCACCAAGCACGTACCAGCCCCGAGTCCAAGTTGCCAACTCTCACCAGAAAATATTCCCGCTCCACTTCTGCTAGGTGGCCAGGTGGAATACGAGCCTTGGAGGAATGGAGAGAGCGCCCTTGAGGCTAGAGTTTTTCTTCCAAGATTGTTCACGTCCGCCGCCTTCGGCAGTCGTGGCAGTCGTGGCAGTGGGCGGTGGACATATGTCGCGACCTTGCAGTGGCATGTTTGTCGTTGACAGCATCTGGAGGCATCATCCATCTAGCGCATGATGATGTCGCCCACATCCAGCCCTTCCGACCTCTTGGAACCGATTTCCTCTCCCCATCTGGAGACGACTTGTCCACATTTCTTGGCACGGTCGCTCATCCACTGTCCACGGTACCCTTCCACGCCTTCACGTCTCCTCCGGGCCCTCCAGCCCTCACTTCGTGGAGTCCTAAGGTCCTCCGCCTGCTTCCTGGCATACCGTCGCCGGTCCAGCCCGTCTTCGACCATAATGCCGACCCCGTCTTCCCAAATTTGGCCCTATGCCGGACCAACCTTCTTCACCACCCTTCACCCTTCACCAGTGACCACCACACACGACACAACTCCAAACCTGCCCACAAGCCGTCGTCTCTGTTTCGTTTCCGCCCGCCGCTTCATATGCCGTTAGCATCAAGCCACCCGCCCGCCCACTGTCCCAGTCTCGCCCTCCGCCGTTTCTCGTCTGCCCATCTCGCCATCTTCCATCTCCCAGAATCTCCCAAATTCTTCCTTCTCCAAGCCCCATCCCCGCCCCCTGCGGCCGAGCGGAGCCCTACAAGGACAGGAGAGAGACAGACTGTCACAGGAGCTGGCTGCACCGCGCGTTCAAGTCTGGACCGTCTGGACTGCTCCATGGCCCCTGCTTGCTTGCTTTCCTCGATTGCCTGCTTCAGCCTTCAACAGGCCACTCAATCCCGCATCCATCGAATTAAGCAATTAATCGATATCCCCTCTGTTTCCGACGTTGCGGCTCACAAGGTTTTCTCACAATAACAAACAATTGGCCACTCGCGTCTCCAAAAAAAGAACGCGCCGTCGCCGCCGCGTCTTTCAGACCCGGTGGCCTGTCACTCGCCTCCCTCGGCGCCTTTTTTCTTCTCGTACTATGTAGTCTCGTAGAGAGCAGAGCCCCTGATTCGGGACCTAGCAGCTAAGCCAACGAGCCCGTCCTAACCCAAAGCCGTCGTCTGTGCCAGCCTCCTGCCCTCCCCCGTTCCCGCGGCACACGGCAGCCCAGCAGCCGGCGCCTCCAACGGCGTCTCTCTAGCCCGACGTTGGCTTCATTACGGTTCGCGCCAGTGGCGACCAATGACACAACTCCTTCCCTCAGCTTCACCAAGAACGGTTGCCAGACCCGACTGATCATCAGAGACACATCTCAGACCGCGCCTTACCGCCGCGGGTACCTGACGAAAAAAGCAAGCGCTAGAGATTTGCAGGTGCATCAGAACGTTCTCAGTCTCAGGCACTAAGCCACAAACAGGAGGGGGGGAGAACTCTCAATCCCGTACAACGCACGAACTTGTCATCTCTTCTTCTGCTGCTTCCTCCCGTGCAAAGCGTTCCCCCTCCCACTGTAACTCTTGATTTTGTCATTGTGCCCATATAATGGGATTCTCCAACCCTGCAGCAGAGTGCCACGTCTCACATGCTCGACAATCTGCTACCGGAGCCGAACCTGTGAAGAGAGCTCTGCTGATCAGATCTGCAGCCCGAGAGTGAATATCATTAACAATCGGCCGCCTCAAACTGGTATTGCTGGGTGGGGGATTCGGCGCTAGACTCAACACGAGGCGAGCAGGAATCTCGATTTGGCACGGTTCGCCGCAACACGGGAACGCCCTCGAAAACTTTCTTCCCTCCTTCTCTTGTCTGCGTGTCTGCCCATCCACCCCCTTAGGAGCTTAGCTGCCGTTATCCTCGTGTCCAAGTGCGGAATTCTCTGGGTGTTGCTCTCAACCCCCCCTTTGTGCCCACGCGACGGCGGCCGTCGACCGATCCCGCGCTTCGGAAGGAAAGGAAGGGGGGCGTGAGGAAAACGCGGGACCTACGTACGTCAATTGACGCAACGCCCCCGCCCCGGCGCGGTGAAAGCCCCGTCCCCTAAGAGCCGCCGTCTCGCGCCGGCTCGGACGATCACTGAGACTTTTTCACGACCCCTGATGCAGATTCGTCAAGAGACATGTGCGCGAAGGAATCGTGAAGCGGGTTCTGTCTGAGTGGCGGGTTGGGTTCTGTCTATCCCCATGGGATGAACACCACATTCTTTCAAACATGGTTGAGGCCCACGATTCGTGAAGATGAGAGGGGCAGCTGAAATGCAAGTCATTCTTTACGAAGAGGCGAAAAAACAAAGGTGAGGTAGTATCCATCATCGGCGGTGTAATCGGGGATACTCTACGATTTCTGATGTTTCCGTTGATTAACGAACGGGTTGTGGGCGAGGTCCGGGGGACAACACGGCACGGCACTGCCAGCACTCAATGAACCCCTACTTTTCGGTCGCGATCCACATGGCACGGCAAACTCGACGACGATTACGTAGCTACGCGGCGTGTCCATACTATACACGCTCTTTACCATATCCATCTCTCTCAGCCTCAACTGGTATCAATCCTTCCCCTCCCCGCTATCCCTTCCCCCGGTACATCCGATCGGGAAGCTCTTCCGGTTGCAATGCCATGACGATCCCAAAGTGACGTACGCAACGTACATCTCGTGTTTACGAAACGCAAAGAGACTTACGAGGTGTCGTGCTTCTTGTCCCGCAACTCGACCTGCGCCTTGTCGTCGTCGGCGGCGTGGTGGTCCTCGTGCGTGAGGTCGAACTTGTACAACGGCTCGAGGATGGCGTCGCGCTGCCAGAGGATCCAGCGCTTGAACCAGTACGGCAAGGCCTTGGTGACCTGGTACCGCATGAAGAGCTTTGTTGGGACTGCGAAGACGTAGTCGAGCTCTTCGAGTGTTCTCTGCTTGGTTTCGGGGACCCAGAAGAACTGGTGGCATGTTAGCTGGTTGCTTAGCTTAGGGAGGAGAAGAATGTTTATAATCACGACGAAGGCTATCACGTTCAGTCCTGCGTAGAAGCAGAAAGAGCTGAGCACGCCGAGGTCTGCCAGCATGATGGAAAAGGAAATCGAGAGCACGGCGGCCCAGAAGAGGCATGTTGCAACCACCCAGGCCATGCCGACTTCACGATGCGACAAGGGGAAAATGTGCCAAAGGTGTCGATGGTCCAGATGGCGGGCCAGGCGAAGAGGAAGTTGACCATGCCGAAGCCGAATGAGGCGAGGAGGGCGTTGAACTCGGATGTGCCCGCCTCCTTGAAGATTGTCGACGAGTAGAAAGCAATGATGTTTATTCCTATCCCTCAGTTAGTTTCCAGTTGCCATTAAACTTCGAGCGTTGATTGTAGTGCGTACCGCACATCTGCTGGGCAATCATGACGGTGAACGAAGCCAATGTGGCTCTGTATCAACCATGTTAGTTTCTCTTTCATTTTTCATCTTTAGAAGAGCTTCGTAACTCACCGTCTGACACGGGGAATCGTAAACAGCTCGATAAACCGCTTGGCATAGTTGGATCGTCCAATGATCTCAGCCTCGACCTGAAGCTGGATATGGATGTAGTATAAGTCCCGAGCCGCCTGGATCGGGTGGTTCCGCAACCGAAGCAGCGATTTCATTGCGTTTCCGTATTGGTTCTTCTTGATATACCAACGGGGAGACTGGGGGCATACGTATATAAGCAGAGCAAGTGGGACAGCCGGGATGAAGGCTGAACCAAGCTGCAACCGCCATGCTATATCTCCCACTTCACCAACAGCTAAACTAGCAGCAGTTCCAGCCAGGATCCCGAAGGCTGTCCACATTTCTAGAGTTATAATTATAATTAGAAAAAAGCCCAGACCATTGCTATATAGAGATTGTGAAGAAGTACGGTTGACGAGAAGGGGGTGGTAGTGTTAGAGGTGGACGAGGATGAAGTTGGCGAAAAAGCAGCTTGAAAAGGGTAATGATATAAGACGCAAAAGTTCAGAAAACTCACGCCAGGACATTACGAGAGCTCCTCGAATGGGTGCTGGAAGTCCCAGTTAGCATCGTTGTTGAGCGCACGGTTGTTATGTCCGGATGCATACCAGGAGAGTTCTCGGCCGCGAAGATGGGGACGGTGCTGGCCTTTGCGCCCATACCGATACCGAGAAGAAGACGACAAGCCAAAATCTGTTCTCATGTCTGAGAAAATGTAGCCCCAATTACAGGCTTGTTGTGGCGGAAATGGGGAGTTGGCTACACACCCAGATGCAGAAGTTGGCGGCGAAGAAGATGGTCCCACGACGACCAACCAAGTTGTTCAATGGATCAGAGAGCCAGCAGCCGATGAACGCCGAGCCTGGAAGTGTCAATTTCAAATCGTTTACGTTCAATGTCGTCCTTGAGTCTTACCGATGTATGGCGCTGAGTTGACTAGACCAACCTAAAACCCATGTCAGTCCTTCGCCTACAATTCATTGTAGCATTGTTTCTGACAAGAAGAGTATCATGATGCGAATTCGATCCAATGTCAAAGACCGTTGGAAACGACAAGTTGGCGCCGTTGCTTCCTGTCTGATCCCAACCCTGTACAGCGGCGCCGATGGAGCAGGTGATAATGGTGAGGTAGAGAATCTTGGGAATGCGCCACTTGTGCAGAACCTCGTCGCGCAACACTTGAATCTCATCCGGTTCGAGAGCCTCAGCGCCGGCTATCTCTTCGTAGCCGGTGGGGTCTTGGGCGACCAAAGCGCCCTTCTTAAGCATGGGGAGATACTCGTCGAGACTCTTGTCGTGGGTGAAGTGTTCCACATCGCGGAGGAGCTCGCTACGGTTGATTCCAAGCAGAGGGTTCTTGATCCTGAGCGGAGGTCAGTATGTATTTGAGAACGGCTCAAGGGAACGGACTTGGCCTCTTTGTTGTCGTTCAGGTCTACGGTTGCTTGGGACCCTCGGCGGGACTTTTCAATGTTCGACACCTCGACGCCGGCCGATCTAGTCCTATTAGTCAATGGAATTTGTGAAGGATGAGATTCTCTCACGGGTCGGCCCCGCCAGCGCGTTTCTCATCCGCCGTTATTGCGACGAGATGAGTATATCCAACTACCCAGTATCTCAAAGATCGGTGTAAGTGGCAGTCACCAGTGCCCGTGGAATGATTATTCCGATCTCTTGCTTGGCCAAGTGAGCCCAACACTCGCCAAAGTAGTCGCGCTCGAGATGTAGATGACTGTGCAACCACTAAAATTCAATACGAGATGGAAATGGGATGGGCACTCATTACTATACGTGGATGGCACAGACATTCATCCCACGTCGCTGGGTAAGAGAACGGCGCAACCACCTTCCCCCGCAAACCCATCGGCACCCTATTTGGGCGTCATGGGGAACTCCAAACATTCCCAGATGATGGATCCGCCGGGTTGGTGACAGGGAGCTGGTCACTTCCTCCGGTTGGTGAACTGCTTAGACCGCGCAAGGGCGGTGAACTGCTCTCACCAGAGCTGATCGGTACGATTGTTTTGTACAGCTAGACTACTTGCGAGAGCGAATACACGAGTCTAGCTGCTGTTGGCCTCATACGCTTTTGGTGTCATTGACATAATGTAACAGTGCTCCACCGAGGTGCGTAAGTTGGATAAGTCCAAAAGATGCTGACCGTTCATGAGATCTCAGCCGCAAGCCAGCGCTTGTATCCTCGGTGTCGTTCCTCGTGAGGAAGATCAACATACAGTGATACCAGCTGTGAATGTAGCACGAATTCAAAGTCAAGTCCTTCCCTATGGACTAGCCCAAGACATAAATCGAGCTGGCCGTCCGAATGATTCTGACCGTTATGCTGGCGTTGGTCTCGTCTTCTTCAGCTTAACCGTTTCCCCAGACTTCCCCAGGACGAGCACGCTCCAGCACCTTACCCACTCACAGACAGACGTTACAGACGACGTCCGTGTCGTGCATTACAGGAATCCCTGGCCAAACTTTTGACACTAATCAAAACGGGGAGCCAATAAGACAAGTACCGTCAGAAGCACAATGTCCCCCGGAAAACTCAGCCAGCTGATGCGGTGTCGCGGCGGCTGTCATTGCCCTGGCAAGCGCATTCGGTTAATGATGAGAATAGTGCCAATTGTACCATGTTTGCAGAGTATCTCTACGTCTTTGGTCAATTGCCAGAGGTGTTTTCGGAGTGCGGATTGTTCATTCTGCCGAATAGTTCACTATTCTCAACGACCTACATTGCCTCGGGGTAATTTCGAAGCCAAGATAGAGAAGAGATCCCTCAGATCCAGCCCATACTAACAACATTTCATCTCCACTGCAAGAACGCGCCTATGTTGTAGTCCGACCTTGAGGGAAAATTGATTCCTAGCATTCCTGGCAGTTGGAAGCGGAGAATGACTGTGGACGAGGATCTAAATGCAAACCGAGTCTGCAAGACCGGGGTTGACCTTTCTCTCCTCATTTAACGCCCGCATGGCGACGTCACTGGTTTTCGACAATGCCCTCACTATTGGTCTTTACGAAGATCTATGGTTCTTCTGGTCTCCACTTGCAAGCCGACCTGGGCGAATTATCTAGGTACGCCGTAGAGATTATGCGATATTATATCCGTTGCCGGGTTTCGGCTCAATGGATTGGAGATGGCTGGAAATAGTCATTCGCTGATTTCAGACATAGCTCCAAATTTCTTGTGCGTCGTAAGCCGTCTCCTTGAAATACTCACCGCAGTGATCCGTCACAGAAGCTGTCGCAAGGATGAATTCGGCCGATGGTCAAGACGTTCCATTGAAGGAGCCTGTAGAGTGCCTAGAAATGCCGAGAGACTGCCAAGCCTCTTAAAGGCTTGTCTTTTCGCCGCAAAGCTTGTAGTTATCAGGGCATCAAATCGACACTCCCCTCGATGGCTTCTTACATTGGCCGCTGCTAGGACTTGTGTGCTTGCTACAAGCCAGAGTCGCCGCCCTGGCCGTTCCCATGATCAGTGTCGTCTCAGGCTATCTTGGTCCTCGGCCGACTTCCCGGCCGATATGTAATCCTGAGTCGTGTCATCTTGAGTCCAGGGAAGTAAAAACGAAGTGCAGCTACCTAGCCAATGAAGTGTTTTGCTTGCCTCCCCACTGGACCCTCAACCTCCCCGTGGGGGATACTGGCAGTTCGTCGCAGTTCGAATTTCTCTAACTACTCATCCGCCCGCGGGGGATGCGGACCTGGTGCGGAATCACTGACAACGACTTACGCCGGATCCTGCCGAACACACGTGAAATCTAGGTATCGAGATTTTCAAAATGGCACGCCATTCACGACGATAGTCCCATTTGCTAATACCGTTCCTGTCTTGCCTTAGAAAAGTCATGTTGAGCTTCGGAAGAGTAGGCTGCGTGTCTAGCCCTGGTTTGCCCTGAACACCATTCTCATTTACTCTCTCATTCACTATATAGTGATGAAAGCCATCCATGACTTTGCGAGGTCGATTGATGAAGTAAAGTTCACTGAAGACAAGAAGACTTAGCGGACCACTCGCGGACATTGTTGGAAGAAACATACCTGGGTTTTCGTGTGATTCTTCGACGATGGGTTCTCCTCGGCAATGTCAGGGTTACTATATATACATTAGCGCCATATTTCTTCCCCAACAATCAACGTGAATGACTTACGTCGGTCCCGGGCATCTCCTTCTTTTGTGTGCTAAATGTCCAGACTCGTCAGTTCCCGGTCTATATTGCATTGACATTAAGAGATGCATGCAGGCTGCGAGCAAGATGGACATGTGCGACTTTCAAGGGGCGTGGAAGAGGACGGCGAAGAACACCGCATGGTGAATATGAGGAACAATCAGGCTGATGATGATGAAACGTACATGGGAGCTCTGGCCCGAAAGGCACCGGCGAAACCTAGGCGCCCTTGTGGGCGCGCTTCTTGGTCTTCATCTTGGCGGGCTTCTCAGCGAGCTTCTTGGCGGCGTTGTCGGCGGCGGCCTGGGCGACTATGATGGTCAGCGAAGGAACACACGATAGGGATAAGATACTGACTGAGGACGCGGATTTCGTCGTCCGTAAGGGGTGGTGGGATCACAAACATGGGACCGCCAAAGTGGTCGCCAGCGATGATGCTCATTTTGAAAGATTCACAGTGTTGTGATTCTCAGAAATTGAAACCTCTGAGGCCCTCCTCTCGGAAGAGAATCTTTTGTCACAGGGCAAAATTTCTGACCCGGTCCCCTTTTGGAAGGGCTTGTCAGGCTGCTTCCTTTTCATCTGAGAATTACCCCCAAAGTCCAATGACCCAGGCCTATGACGCCCCCTGAACTGAGGTAGCAGCTCTGCAAAGCTGTGAGAATCCGATCCAGTACCAGCATCTCAAAGACTATATTTACCGCTGGAACTTACCTAGGAAGGAGAGACGGGGATGACAGAGACGAGGACGACAGAGATGAGGACGATAACAGAGATGAGGACGATAACAGAGATGAGGACGATGACAAAGATGAGGACGATGACAGAGACGAGGATAATGACTGAGACCAGGACGACAGAGACCAGGACGACAGAGACCAGGACAGCACGATTGACAACAGCATCGAAAATGAAGACATTTAATGAGTAGAATCCATTCATAATTCTACAAAACTATGACAGGAAATTGAGGAGGGTATCAACCGCCGGTTCTGTTATAATCCCAGCCCGTCGGGTCAATTCAGTTGCTTATGCATCTCCGCCAGACGTAAAGTTATTTAGTAGTTGTGCTTGAGCACCTTCTTCAAGCCTGCAATCTCCTTCTCGAATTGGGTAATCTTGGCCTGGCTGCCCTCAATCTTGTCAAGGAGGTAGGATACGCGTGAGCCCGTCTGAGAAGGCTGCTTCGGCAGGCTTCCCAACAGGGCCAACTCGCCCTCGGCCTTCTCAATTGTCTTGGCCTCAACCTTAGCCAGCTCCTTCAGGAGAGCAAGGTCCATCTTGGCCCTCAGAACGCGGTCCTCGAGAAGCATGCTGAAGGCGGCCTGGTACATCGGCTTGCCAGGGCGGATAGTCTGCGGGCGGCCGTTGTAGGTCTCAACGGTGATGAGGTCGGCGTTGGTGAGCCCCTCAAGCGCGGACTCTCCGTTTGCAGCACCGGGCGTGGTCGACGAACCGAACGTGTCCGAGAGAAGAACCTCGTTGTAGCGAAGAGCATCATGCGAGGCGAGGGCCTTGATAAGATACCATGCCTGCTCGGTAGACCACTTCTTGCCCTCGACAGAGTCCTTGCCACCCAAGAGGTACATCTTGACGATTTCGGTAGCGCTCTGGTTGATGATGTCCTCGACGGCCTTTTGGGGGCTTTGTCTGCCCTTCAGACGCCGGGCCAGGTTCTCAAGGTCGGTGAGTCGGCCGCCCAGGATACCGATGGCAGCATCGAGCTCCGAAAGATCAGGTTTCACCTCTGGCTGTACTGGGGCTTTGCCTTCCTTTTCTTGCTGTGCCTCGGTCGAATGTTCCCGCACCTTCTCGAGCTCGTCCTCTTCCAGGCGGCTGATGACAAACTTCTTAGCGACATCAGGGGAGAGATCACCCAAAGCAGCGTGGCGGAAAACTCGGTCTGGCATAGCTTTGGACAGAGACTTGGAGTATGCCGTATCGTCCGTCAAGAAGATCACATGGGCGACGTTGTTCTGAACCATCATGGCAGCCCATTCGGCGACCTTGTCGTATACAATGCTGGATTCGTTCTTGTGCAGAAAGTTGTCGATGACAACCACAGCGCGCTTATCGGGGTGTGCTTCTAGCCAAGCGTCCTCGGACAGATCGGCATCTTTGCCATCCTTGTGGCGTCCGGCGAGTGAGACTTCCTTGAGAGCTTCCGCGGTCGTATGCAAGATCTTGACTACCTGCGACTCGAGAGTCTCAGAGAATCCGGCCTTGACTCCAGTAGTGCTTTGAACCGCGAGATCGATCATGCTGCTCATGCTGTTGAGGAACGCGAAGACAGGCTTGTATCCCACGGCGTTGGCGAGGCGCTTGATGGTGCCGCTCTCGCCTCTGGCTTCGGTGATGGGTTTGCAGTCAATAACAAGAACATTCTTACGATCCTTGAGGGCTTGATCCGTAACAAGCTCCTTCTTGCCCGATCCTCGAGGACCCTGGACGACAACAAAGGTGTCAGAACTTTCCAACAACCAGGTTTGGATCTGCTCAATAAGGTCTCTGCGGTGTTGCCAAACGGCGTTGAAGCTAGCCTTGTCGGTCTTCTTGCGTGCAAAGGAAGAAATGATGTCGGAGGTCTGGCTCTTGACCCATTTGTAGAATTTGTTGTCTGACAATCGGAAAGAGTGCTGGATATGGGCCTTGACGAAGAACTCGCGGATAGGGTCGAAGACAGCGACGG